TCATATGGTCTTGTGTTTCAGGTACCAGTGAAGAGGATGTGACTCATGCTCATGTGTTCATCAGTTCTGGTGAAAATGTCCGTCTGTCCTGTAATAATGCTCTTCCAGACTGTAACTCAACTATATGGTTCTATAACAGATTCAGAGATTCAGCAGCAGTTGAACTGATTGGTTTAGGGAAAAAGAAGAAAGACACAGAGAGACATGAGAGACTGAGTCTGGGGCCTGACTGCTCTCTGAACATCAACAACATCTCAACAGAAGATTATGGATATTACACCTGCAGACAATATGTGAATGACAAACAACAAGGAACTGATGCTCGTGTTTTTCTGCATATTCTTCATGGTATTTTTATGATTATGTGGTCAATTTAAAAAGTTAAATTCTTCATTTAATCTCCCATGATGATTGAAGAGTCTGTGATTTGTGTGTTATTTTGTGTTTCAGTCTCTTCATCCTCCTCCTCATCCTCACAGACTGAGATCAGTGCAGGCCGCTCTGTGACTCTCTTCTGTCAGTTGTATTCATTTGCTGGAGGCTCTTGTGATGATTGGATCTGTTATGAGAGAATTCAGCTGTTCTGGGTGAATCAGGCTGGTGTTAAACTGACGAGATCAGACTCCAGATATCAGATATTATCCTCATCAGATCACTGTATCATCACTCTGACTACAACACTCCTGAATGAAGATCACAACAGAGAGTGGAGATGTGAAGTTACTCAGAGAGATCAAGTCAAGACCTCAGCCACATACACTGTCAAGAGTTCAGGTGAGAAAGAGAGAGATCTTATTAATCAGTTTTAGACCGTTATAATGTCAGTAACACTAAAGTCTGTTAATATCACTGAAGAAGAACACACTGAGGTACAAAAGCTTCTTTCAGTCTTACAGAAGAAACTCAAAGCACTGCTGCAAACTAATGAACTGCAGTCAAGTTTAACAGTCCAAAAACTGCTGCTGAAAAGAGTGCGAGAGACATTAATGCACTGATGCTGACTGTACACTTTGAGTACAGTTACATTGTGTCAGGAGCTGACTACCAAAATACTACAGTAAAAGTAAAGTAAATAAGTTTGTATTCATACTCAAAGAACAAAAACTACAGCATTTTTTTTAAGTAGCTCAACTGTCTGTATATCTGCTTAATTCTGCTGATCTTTACAGTTTTTTAAAAATGCTTACACAAATTTTTGTGAAACTATGGCTCCATTTCTCTAAACTCTACACACAAAACCACAAAACACACACAACATGCAAAACATCACACAGTTCTTGCAAAAGCCAACACTTCTTTCAAAACTATTTTAACTCTTCTAATAATGGTATATTTGTCTAGTAACTCTACACACAAACATAAAGTAATTAGCCACATACACACACCAAACTACACACAGATGTGAAGAATGTAAAACTCTCCTCTCTCGTGTGTGTTCTGGTTGTTCAGAGTGCAGTGGAGGAGTTTAACACAGCACTCACACACACATGCATATTCACATATACACTCTATATACTGTATGCATGTACAATTGATGAATTTACACAGTTATGCAACTGAACTGAATCAACACTGAACTGACTTGAGCTCTATAATGACACTGTTGACTTGTTAGAGCTGCTTTACAGTAGAATTTGAATTTAACACTCTTGTGAATCTGCTGTGAAACAAACTATATTGTATAAAGCGCACCAGAATTAAAGTAGACTTTCTGACTTGACTTATATGCATATTCAGTGTGTGTATATATATATACATATAGACACCAGGATTTTTTTTAAATCACCAATTAAGGAGGATAGTTGGATGTGACGTGTGGCCAAGTACGGTGTCTCATACTCTGAATTTGTGCTCTGTGTTTAACACATCTAAGTGCGCACACACACACACACACACACAGTGAACACACATACAGTGAACACACACACACACACAACACACACACAAACACACAGTGAACACACATAAAGTGAACACACACTCACACCCACACACAGCAGTGTGTAGTACACACACACATGTTGTGTTTCCATGTTTTATGGGGACATTCCATAGGCATAATAGTTTATACACTGTACAAACTGTATTTTCTATCCCCTTATCCTAACCTACACCTAAACCAACCCCTCACAAAAAACGTTCTGCATTTTTAAAGGTCTAAAAAACTTCATTCTGTATGGTTTATCTGGGAAATGCACTTTTACTATTGTTAAATAAATGGTCAAAGATTGTCAAATATTGACACATTTACTTTCTCTAAATAGTGCTGATATTGCGACCAGTAAATACAGTCTGGTCAGGCTAGCCTGTGTGGAAACTTTTAAACTCTGTTTCAACTAAGCAGGCGTTAGGTTCTGCTCTTATCTCCCCTAATGTGCTCACATACTGTAGATTCATTTCATGGAAATATTAATTGAATTGAATTCAAAGGACTGTTAGAAACTGTAAGTTGTTTGGTTGATGTAATTACCTCTCTCTCTCTCTCTCTCTCTCTCTCTCACACACACACCCGGAGCAGTGGGCAGCAGTTGGGTTTCAGTTCTTGCTCAAGAGTCTCAGCTCAGTCGTGGTATTGAGGGTGGAAGAGAGCACTGTACAGATCTGAGGTCTTTATGTCTGCAAGCTCACATGTACATATGTGAACGTGAACATGATGAACATGATCCTGAACACTAGATGTTTGAGCTGTACTGTACAGCAGCCAAACATCCTTTCAGTACAATAGTAGCAAAAGTAGTAAACAGCAGTTTTGCCTTGTTTTAAATAAACACTACATTTAAACGTAAAACTGACTTCATTAGGAAATGCACTTTTACTATGGTTAAATAAATGGTCAAAGATTGTCAAATATTGACACATTTATTTTCTCTAAATAGTGCTGATATTGCGACCAGTAAATACAGTCTGGTCAGGCTAGCCTGTGTGGAAACTTTTAAACTCTGTTTCAACTAAGCAGGCGTTAGGTTCTGCTCTTATCTCCCCTAATGTGCTCACATACTGTAGATTCATTTCATGGACATTTTTATCAAATTGAATTCAAAGGACTGTTAGAAACTGTAAGTTGTTTGGTTGATGTAATTAAAACTGGGTTTAAATTCATGCCTCTGTTAACTGTAAAGATTGTAAAGATCGGCGTGCAGCAGAAGAAAAGAGGAACTGGAATCTGAATTCACAGCATCATCATCATCATCATCATCATCATCATCAGTCTAATCTGGGTTCAGAGATGATCTCTGCTCTACTGAGTCCCACACACAGCAGAAACATGTTTCCAAACCTCAACAGTGAGATCTCCGCTCTGAAAACACTACAACTGCTATCATTAATTCACTACTTTACTAATGAAGGTCTAGAATGGCTGTCAACTATCTCAATATTGTAAGAACAAATATTATTTCCAATAAATCATCAACATCTAAACCTCTGTAGGTCTCAATACGAGCTTCTGTAGACATGTTACAGAAATAAAGTCTGGTTAGTAATGAGTGAAGCTGGTGATGCTGTTTGTGGAGTTGTTTAATCAGATCTTGAGAGATTTAATGTCTTTTATCTTCAGTTGATTTCATCTAAGGCTGTGTCTGAAAGTCAGGTTAAACAAATTATATTTGCCTTGTATATAAGGAAGAAGGCCTTTTTTTATGTAATTTTTAGTGTTTTTTTTGTGTGGAATCAGTTCTATGAATGTAATTTTATAAAAATGTGAAATGGGTGTTAAATTTTGCTGTCTTTGTCTGTAAGTATATATAGAGAGAAGTATATAAACATATATTTCTCAACTCTGGAAAAAAACAGGTTACATCTCAGATTAAAATTTAATTTTTGCACATGAAAATCATAATTGCAGTAATCACAGTGATTTGCCTTGGACGTGGCTCTGGCCCTGTTGCAGCTCCAGGGCGTCCAAATTCTCATTGAGACATGCTTCTCAATCGCATTGTTGCCGAGTCAGCAGACGACTCTCCTGCATGTGTTTCGACACTTCAGGACTGTTTGAATCTGTTCAAACCAGGTTAACTAGTTCACACAGGTTTATGCTGTGTATTGGGTCTTATGGCAGCAACGTCTCCTGTGGTTCAGTGGAGCCTGCTTCACATAAGGCCATCTCAGTGGATCAAGGGTTTATAGATTTAGCCTCGTTGGCATCCTGGTTTCCTGGTTTTTACAGGGAGACGGCTTATGCCTTTTCGCCCTGTACGAATCCCTTCTTGGGACTTATCAATAGTCCTGGTAGGTTTCAGTAATGTGTGTAACCCTGGTTCGCTGAATAGGGAATGAGATGCTGCATTGCTGGCCATTCTCTTACTTTTCTTCAACTTTTAGTGCTTCCTTCATAATGGAAACTCTGAGGTGATATGGCGCGAGCACACTCTTATGAGGCATAAGTGACTTATTCCTCAGAGGTGGTGCAAAGTGAAACTAGCCAGTTAATATTTGTGATGGTATAAGAGCTTCAGTCAATCGTCCCACCCGGGGGTGATTCCCATAGTGCCAGCGACACAGACTCTCGTTCCCTATTCAGGGAACTTAGGTTAGGGTCAAGGGACAAGGGTCAAGGTCAACTTTATTATCCCCAGAGGGCAATTTGTTTCACAGCCAGCAGTAAACCATATACAATCAACAAACAAACACCACAACACGGAGACAAAAAACAGTGACTTCCATTAATAATATACATACAATTATTTGTAATTTAAAAAAAACGATGGCAGCTGGTATAAAATAATTTTTAAATCTATTGGTCCTACATAAAGGTAAATACCATCTGCGAGAAAGCAACTTAAAAACATTCTGCAAGGGATGGCTGGGATCATTCTTAATTAACTCAGCCTTCTTCAAAGTCCTAACCTTATACAAGTCGTTCAAATCATTTAAAGTGGTGTCAACAATCTTACCACACACTTTAACAATACCCTGCAATCTATTTCTGTTTCTATTTCTATTTTCTGTTACATACGTAACTGAGACATTTTCATTTATTAATATAGTTCACACAGGTCTGGTACATATTTATCATTTTTGTGATGCAAAGCTTAAGTATTACAGTTTTTCTCGATTGCTAACACACTATAACTGATTAATTTGGCCCAATTTTCCAAACCATTCCTACAGTTCTCGAAACAAAGACACATTTCTCAAAACCTTTAACACATTTCACCTGTTTGCACACACGGTCCAATTTGCTCAGTGTTTTCTGCAAAACTTTACAAAAAATGCCATCATTTTGCACAGGTTTAACCATGTTCTCATTCAGAAAACACAAACACACAATATAATTAACTCAAGAATCACAAAATGAACACAAATAGCACACATGTATCCATGAGTGAACATTAAGCAGCAAAACTGATGACACACAGGTCAGAATCTCAGGATGATATGAACAAGAGCACAGCTGATTATGAGTTTTGGAAAATTAATCCTGGTAGTGAGAGACAAAGAGGAATTGGAGGGGAAAATAAAAACGAAGGGGATGAGGTCAAATTTAATTTGTTCCTGATGAAATACAAAGCACTATAGTTGACCATGTTCTTCTGCATGGACTGACCATGAGGAAAGTTTGCCTACAGGCTCATCTACAGGGTTTCAATACTACTTACACATACAATATAATTACAGTACATAGCAGCCGTACTGCAGATGAGAGAACTGTCATTATTCTATGTACAGTAAATACTCTAGCACATGTTGAATTGATTTGTAGCCAAGTATGTATTTGTGCAGAACTGAGAGAGGACTGTCTACGGGAGGCAGAGAAGTCTTTTGTCAGAAGACTT